CTTAAATGTGTGTTAATTTATATTAATTTATATCTTTTTCTTCCCATATGATAGCAATGGGGACATTAAGAATTCACCATAGTGGCACTTTTTGCATGAGTAGTAGTACGGATCTTAGGTATGCTGTAGGCGAAGTACATGATGGGGATATTGAATATCATCATGTGACTTTGTCGTACTTAGAGGAGAGGGTAAAAAGCCTCGGGTATATGCATTTTAAGGACATATATTACAAAGATCCTTATGTGGAAAAATTTGGTGAAGCAGTAAAGGTTATAAATAGTAAGCAGGAGCTTATTCACATGCGGTACCTTTTAAATGAAAGGGGAATTATATATGTGTATGTTGAGCATGTTTGTGATGAGCCAGATATTTTAGATTTGCTTGAAGGTGGCACTGTTCTACAAGAACCAGTTGATGAAGGTAGAATGGACATTGGGGAAGGTTGTGTGACACAAAATTCACATCCAGCCCCAAATGGTCATGAAGCTCCAGAAACAGTAGCTGAAGGTGATGCTGATGAAACAGATGCACTGCATGAAGGTGATGCAGCCCAACAAGAAGATCTACAGAACAATGATCATGATGATGAGGAGTTGCTTGATATTGTGAATAATGATGCAAATGATGAGGATAGTGGGGAAGGCTATGTGACACAAAATTCACAACCAGCCCCAAATGTTCATGAAGCTCCAGAAACAACAGCTGAAGGTGATGTTGATGAAATAGATGCACTGCATTGAGGTGATGCAGCCCAACAAGAAGATCTACAGAACAATGATCCTGATGATGAGGATTTGCTTGATATTGTGCCTAGTGATGCAGATGATGAGGAGGTGCTTGAATCTATTCGCAATAAAAAGAAACATAAAGCTAGTGCAAGTGCAAGAAAAAATGCAAATGGTGCTGGACCAAGCGGCACAGTCCATGACTCCCCTACCACAGTTAATGAAGAGGGTGAAAGGGTTCCAATAGGAATTGATGACCATGGAGATTTGGGTTCTGATTCTAGCTTTGAAAATAGTGAAGATGAATTTGAGGTTTCTAGTGATGATTTAGGTGAGTACAATGTTGCAGATGAACATGAACTTGAAGAAGAAGAAGAAGATGTAAGAACTACTAGAACTAGTGAGTTATGGTTTAATCCTTCATGGAATACTATTTGGTTTGAGGTAGGGATGAGGTTTGAGCATGTAGCACAGTTTAAGGAGGCTATAGCTAAATACCAAATTCAAAAAGGCTGTAAGTTGAAACCTGCTAAAAGTGACCCTACCAAGCAGAGAATTCACTATGTTGGTCAACAGTGCAATTGGAGTATCTTTGCCAGTTTTGATAAAAAAGACAAGACTTTAAAGGTGAAGACATATTGCAAGGAACACACTTGCTTTCGGAGTTTGAAGTCCAATATGGTTGGGTCGAGGGTACTTGCAAAACACCATAGGAACAGAATTGTTGCAAATCCGTAGATCAGAATCAGTGAGATAGTGAGATTGTCTCATTTAGAATTAGGAGTCATGTTTCAAGGGATAAGCGTAAACTAGCAAAGGAAAGGATTATGAAAGAGGTGAAGGAAACTCAGACGAAGGAATTTGCTCAGTTAAGAGGGTATGCAAAAGAGCTGTTGAGATTGTCCCCTTAGTCAAATGTTCAAATTGACAGTGAGCCACCCACAACTCCAAAGGGAAAACCTATGTTTAAAGGAATCTATGTGTGTCTAGAAGGATGTAGGAAGGGTTTTCTACTAGGCTGTAGACCAGTAATTGGAGTTGATGCCTATTTCCTCAAGGGGATGTTCAAAGGAACTCTTTTGGCAGTTGTTGCAAGGGATGGGAACAGTCAAATGTTCCTAATAGCTTGGGCTGTTGTTGACTCAGAGTCTACCAGCTCATGGACATTTTTTTTTAGATGCCTAGTTGATGATCTATCAAATCACACTGGGCGAGATTTAACGTTCATTTCGGACCACATCTTGTAAGTGTGCACAATCTATTATGAATTAATTTATATTATCAATATCTTTATGTTACTATAATCATCAATGCTATTTATTGTATAATTCAATTGACTTTATTATCAATCATTAACCTTATTTGTTATCATGATTGTACAATTTGGTAGGGGTTGATTAATGTAAGACAAACAGTTTTCCCCAAGACTAGGCATAGATTGTGTGCCAGGCATTTATATGCCCATTGGCAAAAAATTTTCAGAGGGAAACTATTGAAGAAAAGATTCTGGTGCTGCAAGGTCAACATATGAAGGTCAATCAACAAAAACATGGAGGAGATAAGAAATTTATCCGTGGAAGGTCATGATGCCTTAAAATCAATCCCCCCAGAGCTGTGGTGCAAGGCATTCTTTGACACATCATGTAAATGTGATGTGGTGGATAACAACATGAATGAGACCTTCAACAATTGGATAATGGATGC